GTGGGGGGTCAGCCTGTCAGTGCTCAGACCATACGCCGCACACTGCATCAAATTGGTCTGCATGGCTGTCGTCCCAGAAGGAAGCCTCTTCTAAAGATGATGCACAAGAAAGCCCGCAAACAGTTTGCTGAAGACAAGCAGACTAAGGACATGGATTACTGGAACCATGTCCTGTGGTCTGATGAGACCAAGATAAGCTTCTTTGGTTCAGATGGTGTCAAGCGTGTGTTGCGGAAACCAGGTGAGGAGTACAAAGACAAGTGTGTCTTGCCTACAGTCAAGCATGGTGGTGGGAGTGTCATGATCTGGGGCTGCATGAGTGCTGCCGGCACTGGGGAGCTACAGTTCATTGAGGGAACCATGAATGCCAACATGTACTGTGACATACTGAAGCAGAGCATGATCCCCTCCCTTCGGAGACTGGGCCGCGGGGCAGTATTCCAACATGATAGCGACCCCAAACACACCTCCAAGACGACCACTGCCATGCTAAAGGAGCTGAGGGTAAAGGTGATGGATTGGCCAAGAATGGGCATCCTCAAATATATATATATATATATATATATATATATATATATATATATATATATATTCATAAAAATTTTTATATATATATTTCATAAACTATTTTATTATTTATTTAACTATCATTATGATGTTTTTATGATGTCTTCATTATTGTTGACGATATAAAAAATTATTTATATTTGTGTGATGCACTTTTTCCGTCTTCATTATTCTTGCAAAAAATTAAAAATACATTTTTATTAACAAATGTTTTATTAGTTAATTGTCGATGTTTTTTCTGTCATCATTATTGTTGACAAAATAAAAAAGGTTTTATATTTTTATTAACTTTTTTATTTTTTTCATGTATCTTTCTCATCTTCATTATTGTTGACAAAATAAAGAACTGTATTCTAATCCAAATATGTTTGTTTCATCAATCTGTGTCCCTTTTGTTGTGTCATGTGACATGGTTTCTGATTTCTGCTGCTGACTTGATGTTCTTTATGCAGCTACAAGTTTGAAACATCGATTCGATCGTCAGTGAACTCAACCAATAGCCTCTCTCCATGTCGAGTGAGGTCTAGCGTTCTGGCCGCAGGTCCCAGTGCTTCTTCAGTGCCGAGCTCAGGTACAGAACCACCTACGGCTTGAGTTAGATTGGAGTCTTGCTGTTTAAACTAGTTTTAAAACCTGATGGGGACTAACTTATGCTGGTGCCGTGTATGGCTTCATATGGTTTAATATAGTCTTGCTAATGCATCATATTTGCTGAATGAAATCAATACTTATTTCTTACTAATTTTGTGTCTGATTCCCAAAATACTACCTGTTTTGCTCAAGCACGAAACTTTCTTACAAAATGTGTGTTTTGTTGTATTTTTCCTTTTACAACCATTTGTAAGGTGAAGAAGTCTTGAATTATCCTTTAATTACCAGAAAAACTGCCACAAAGACAATTTTCTGTCTTCATCTGAGCCAGATTACCACTCTTTGTTTAAATCTCAGCTGATTTTCATATGTAAGACATTATTTTATGCCTAATCCTGATTTCAAGGTTAGAATTAGTGACAGAAGAAAATGCAAACACCACCCTGATGGTGTGGGTGGTTTACTACATCCAAATAGTGAAAGAAAATGACAGATTTTGTGAAAAAAAAAGCTTAGTTTGTAAAGTTCATTGACATTAAACGAAGTATTTGAACATATTTTTTCACTCCACTCGAAACTTTTGACATTTGACTGCTTTTGTTATTTCGACAAGTGCACTAAAGCTGATACATTTATATACTTAGAAAAATCTTCAATCTTATTTTGCAAAAAAAAAAACTACATGATTGAAGTTTTTGACCATTTTTAATTCAGCATCATCAAATTAACTAATATTAGGCCTTTTTTTTAAAGATGCATGGCTGTGCAGTAATCTGTCATCGCTTGTTTGTCCTGTCTCATTTTATTCGCTATATTTGTCATGTGTTGATTTCTCGAAATGCCTCTCATTTGCAACCCTTCTCACCCTCTCTTCCCTCTTTCTCAGGTTGCGAACACGAGTCCAGGTTGTCCATGTGGATCTATGTTTTCCTTGGGAATATCTTGCGAGGAATCGGCGAGACCCCAGTGCAACCTTTGGGAATCTCATACATCGATGATCACGCTCTGGAGGAGAATGCAGCCTTCTACATCGGTACATCTACAAGTTTGTTCATGCATTTATGATTGGAGTGAAAATAGGACAGATATGCATTTGCTGCTTCATCGGTTACCACAAATTCAGTGAGAATCGCAGACAGTTTGCCGTTTAACCGTTTCCTGGTATTAATTGTTTTTCCTAGAGAGCATTGCCTTTCTTGGTAAACAGCCCAGACTAATCAATTCTTGCCGTCTGCATTAGGATGCGTCCAGACGATATCAGTCGTCGGTCCGGTGTTTGGCTACCTGCTGGGGTCTGTCTGTGCCAAGATATACGTGGACATTGGATTTGTCAACATGGGTGAGTGAAACGGTGCTGTTGTATGATTCACTATTTCCTAAAGGAGTGATTAAGTTCAGTTGCATCTGGATGCCGTACGTCTCTGGAAATGTACAAGTCAAGGTTTTCTTGAATATAAAGAGCACATAATAATAGAAAATGCTTCTGTTCTGTATGTTTTCATGAGTTTTTGGCTCATCTTGACTAGACTAGTGAATCAAAAACTCATAAAAGGAAAATAGTTCATTGTGAAATCAAGGATTCGCTCCTCAGATCTGGAGCAAGTCCAGTTTATTCATATTAGTCTTATTTTGTTTGTGTTTCGAACAAAAGCAGGAGGAAATAAGAAACTTTGTTGTTTCTTGTTTGAAAGCCATGGAGGCTGTTTATGTTGGATCTGAGTGCGATTCTGGCATCCGAACGCACTCTTTATTTGACTGGGGACGATGTAAAGGTTAAAAAATGTTAAGCTGTGATTTATCCAACAGCTATTTTGCTTGTGAAATGAGACTGGGAGGTTAAACGGGGCATAAGCTGAAGCATGCAATATCCTTAAATTGCATGACATTAATATTAGAAATGTGTGCGTAGTTAGAAGATACTGAAAATCAGTGGTCAGTCCATCATGGTGTACAAAGCTGATTCCTTACAGAACATTTTTTGGCATTGGCAAAGTTTATGTATGTGAAATAATGCGTGTTGGAGACGCAGGCCATTTCTTTATGGATAATATAGCGTTACACCCTGAAGTCAAGACGTTTGGCAGTTGAGTTAAGCTGTAAGATATTGTGTATTAAATATTCAGCCAATAAAAACTATATCACATATCTTAATATCAAATGTTTTGGCATTCATTTTATTTAGTGGACAATAAAACAGCACAGACAACAACATCCAGGTGTGAAAAACTTGTTGCATCTTTCCCCAAAAGACTCATGGCTGTATTAGATCAAAAGGGTGTTTCTACTAAATACTGAGCAAAGGGTCTGAATACTTAGGACCATGTGATATTTCAGATTTTCTTTTTTAATAAATCTGCATAAATGTCAACAATTCTGTGTTTTTCTGTCAATATGGGGTGCTGTGTGTACATTAATGAGGAAAAAAAATTAACTTAAATGATTTTAGCAAATGGCTGCAATATAACAAAGAGTGAAAAATTTAAGGGGGTCTGAATACTTTCCGTACCCACTGTACATAAATCCTTGCAGGAGTATTGTTTCTATAGAGATTTATACATTTAATGATACTAAAGACAGCATAATTAAGATTTTTGAGAGGGGGTTTTTAAGTCTCTCATGCTCAGAAAGGCTGCATTTATTTGATCAAAAGTACAGTAAAAATCTGAAATATTATTAAAAATTAAAATAGCTGTTTTCTATTTGAATATACTGTAAAATGTCATTTATTTCTGTGATGCAAAGCTGAATTTTCATTCCTCCAGTCTTCAGTGTCACATGATCTTCAGAAACCATTCTAGTACGCTGATTTGCTGCTCAAGAAACATTTCTGATTATTATCAATGTTGAAAACAGTTGCGCTGCTTCATATTTTTGTAGAAACTCTGGATACCTTGGATTTATTAAATGAATCAGAAGTGACAGTAAAGACTTTTATAATGTTACAAAGATTTATATTTCAAATAAATGCTGTTCTTTTGATTTCTATTCATCAAAGACTTCTGGATAAAAATGTATGACCATTTCCACAAAATATTAAACAGCAAATTGATAACAGATTGGTAATAATAGGAACCATTATTAATATTTGAGCACTAATATTAATTAATAATAACTGAGCAACAATGGAGAGTATAAGAAACATCTTTAAAAAAACATTTTAAAAATCTTAATTATTCCTAACTTTTGACCAGTATTGTAAGTATTACTGTAAGTAACAGCTTTTATTTTCTGATATTCAAATTTTTTTTTTATATATATTACTTTTCTAATATATTTTTCTCTTCTGTCAAACACGAAAAAGGTTTTTTTTCCTGTTTTTTTTTTTTTAAATACAAAGAATGTATATATATATTTTTACTTCCAAGCTCCGAAAAGCTAAATTCACTCTTGGGTTGAGTTAAAGAATCTAGGTTTGATGCTATAGATGTCAAACTTCATTCTGCCACCTAGTCATGACATCTTTAAACATGTTTCCAAATAAAGCTACAGAATGACTTGAAAAGACTTGCATTTTATAGTGCAGAAGTCATATAGATCACTTTGATGCTGCTTTTTCAATCTTGACAGTACAAATCACCATCTTTTTGTATGGAAAAGAGCAGTTTGAACATTCTGCTTAGCATCTCGTTTTGTGTTTCAGGATTAAATGTGGCAAAAAATGTGTTTGGATGTTCCATTACTTGTTTACATGAAATGCTACGAACGTTTCAATCTACTGGCACAACATGGAGTCTGACAGAGCATACATGAGCTGAGAGAGAGCGCGAGACATCTAAGACTGTCTGTAGATCATAGTCTGCGTCTGCGTCTGCCTCGGCTGTCTGCCTGGCCCAAATATTCTGAACATGTGACAAGCTGCAGCGAGCCTCGTAACGTCTGTATTCTCGCTGTTGACATATGCGCGTGTGTGTGTGTGTGTGTGACTGTGTGTGACTGTCTTCTCACAGAGAGCATTAGCATCACCCCGGGAGATGCACGCTGGGTAGGCGCCTGGTGGCTGGGATACCTCATTGCAGGATTCATCACCCTGCTCTCAGCGATGCCGTTTTGGTTCTTGCCCAAGTCTTTGCCCCTGCCAGAGAGACAGCTTGACAAGTATTCTCCAGAGCGGACCAGCTTCATCAAAGACTCGCCCCTGCTGGAGCACAAGTACCAGGCAGACGAGCCAGCTAACTTCCTAGAAATGGCCAAAAGTAAATCACCTAGAATTCACAGAAAACTTCACGCTCTGAAGTATCAGATGTCTGCACTGGTCTAGGCTACATAAAAAGCGGATTTGACCCATTTAAAGTGCTGTAATGTCATTGCATTAATTAAGAAAATATCAAACCATTTGGCATTTATTGTAACCCTAGAAAGACCTACTGTATCGTATTTGATTGGCAAATTTCTAAGGCCTTTAAATGATCAAAACTTTGCTGAAAAACTGGTTGAACGGCATCTACTTCGGTTCACTTGATTATCCATCATCATTTTTAGAAAAATCAGTGCGTCTCAAATCTGATCATCAGGATCTTTTGAGGAGCGTTTGTTTCCAGAAGCTTTACTTTCACTGTTGATCTTCCCAAGCCTCCAGAATATCTCGCATATTTTGAGGAATGATAATCTCTCAATTATCATTGGATTGCATTACATTTTATGATTTGATCATTTAAATCTCATTTTATAAGACATATTATTGGAGATATAGAGTGACGGCGGATATTTATTGCATTTTATGTAATTATCTACTATACTGTTATAAAGATCTCATTGATTTACATTACATGCATCAGAATTTAATTATTTTTGTCCATACTAATATCAGCATCTGCACCAAATTGCATATTTTTGCTTAGTTTGGGCCCCTGAATAAAAGGAAGGTGTTTTTTCCTCCCTGTATCAGACTATATGAGCCATAAAAGCATGATGGATCAAATATGATACTCAACAAAAACACTTATTTATTTTTTTTTCTCTAAAGGTTCAATAAACTGTTTAACCAAGTATTTTTTTCTGTCTACTATTCCATATGTCAGGCTTTACAGGGTTAAAGAAAGCACTGGCATCCTTTTCAGTCAAAACTTTTGCTTGCATAACTTTACATGATTTAAAATGGCAAAACAATAGAATTATTTTTGGAAATGAAGAAAAATTTGGTGTTTAGAAAACCAAACTAATACTTTTTTCTGCCATATCTATACATCACTAGGACATAATTGTGAAATTGAATACTTCATGCATCCACTAAAACTCAAGTGAAGTTAGTTCTTAGAAAAGTTTATGAATCATTTATTTGCTATCTTGTATTTAATGCATTGACATTCATTCATTTCAGTTGTGGTGCATGTATGCTGTGGATTGACAAATAAAATTCAGCTATTTGCATCATTCTTAAACATTTTGTATTCATGTTTTCCAGACTTTTTGCCAACGCTCAGATCCCTTTTGGGGAATCCAGTCTATTTTTTGTATCTCTGTGTCACCATCATCCAGTTCAACTCTTTGATCGGTATGGTGACGTACAAGCCAAAATACATCGAGCAACATTACGGGCAGTCAGCGTCCAAAGCCAACTTCTTAATGGGTATGGGCTTCCTCTAAATGCACGGATATATTACAGTTCACGGTGCAGCTGTGACCTTAGAGCTTAATGTATTCATGTTTTCCAGACTTTTTGCCAACGCTCAGATCCCTTTTGGGGAATCAAGTCTACTTTTTGTATCTCTGTGTCACCATCATCCAGTTCAACTCTTTGATCGGTATGGTGACGTACAAGCCAAAATACATCGAGCAACATTACGGGCAGTCAGCGTCCAAAGCCAACTTCTTAATGGGTATGTCGTCTTCCTCTAAATGCACGGATATATTACAGTTCACGGTGCAGCTGTGACCTTAGAGCTTAAAGTTTTGATTAGATTTTATTAATGTGCGTTAAATATTACTCTATGGTTCTGATATCAAATCTAAAGGTTTTTATAGCTCGGTTAAATCACAGTGTGATATGGCCCGTTACACCTTATGAAAGAGAACGAAATCCAAAAATAATATCAGCACACAACGTAGAGACTGTTGTGCATTTCGGGAAACGGCATTAGCGTTTGAAAATCAGATGGAGGGAAAACAAATAGGCCTATTCTGTATCCCTTAACCTTTCAACCACAAGAAGAGTCTTTGCCTTTGTTTCAAACCCATGACACTGCTCCTTTGATCCAGGTTTTCCTGATGCCGTCTGTTTTTTCAGGAGTGATCAACATCCCAGCCGTGGCCTTGGGAATGTTCTCGGGAGGTGTGATCATGAAGAAGTTCAAGCTGAGCATCATGGGAGCAGCCAAGTTTGCGCTGGGAACGTCTCTTCTGGGCTACTTCCTGTCACTTTTCTTCTTCGCCATGGGATGTGAGAATGCCAGTGTGGCCGGCATCACCAGGTCGTACAATGGGTAGGACGAGACTTTCAGTTTGGATTTCGGTCAGTGGTGCTTCTGCTCAAATCTGAGGCCAGTTGCATAAACACAGCCATTGTGTTTAGACTTTGTCTTAAAAACTAGTCTGACCAACTCGCAGTTAGCCAGAGTAATCGATCGTACTTTACGGATTCAAATTAGTCCAGTCTACATTTTTATGAAAGTGGTTTTAAAAAAAAAGAGTCTTAAAGAAAAAAAATGACTTTGTGAAAATTACTTAGTTGTAAGACTAGTCTAAGCAGTTTTTGCAGCCGGTCTAATGGGGTCAAGCAAGCAATGCAAATAATAAAATGCAACTATATTGTCATGAATAATTTGAATCGCTGAATAATTAGGATAATCATTGGGAGAGGAAAACGCTTTGCATCTTTTTTTGTTTATATGAATAATTTTTTACATTTACAATTTTTGTATATTTTACATTTGCCTAAAGTTCATAAAAAAGATATTAAGGCTGGAAAAAATTATATATGTTTATAATATATGTAAATGTATGTTTATATAAAAATAATCTAAATTCATTGAGATATTATAATTTTTATTAATAGTTTGAATTGTTTTTTTTGTAAATTTTTTTATTAAAGTTTTCGTAGTTTTATTGCGTTTTGTAATTTTTTATTAGATCTTTCTATATAGTTTTTATTATTCTTTTTATTTCAGTTTTAGTTTATTTTAGTACATCAAGATGAAAATGAGAAATGCAAGTAGCGGAAATGAAATGAGTTTAAGTTTTTGGTTACACGTTACAATTAGTTAATTAAATTAGTTAAAATGAACTAACAATGAATAAAACTTGTACTGCATTTATTAATCTTATTAATGTTAATATCATCATTTAGTTAATGTACTGTGAACATGAACATTTTTATTAACTTAACATTAACAAAGGTTGATAAATGCTGTAAAAATACATTGTTCATTGTTAGTTAATGTTAATGCATTAATGAGACCTTATTGTAAAGTGTTGCCAATTTATTTATTTTTTTTCCGTTAATGTTTCTTTTATTTAAAGTGACAAGACACTTTTATTTTTAGTAATAATTTTAATTTCAGTTTTAGTTCATTATAATAACCCTGCGATGCACGCCACCATAGAAAAAACAAAAATTGCACATAAATGTAACTGGTTTTTATTCCTAGTTTTGAACATGCAGAAAAGTCATCAAGATTTGTTCATAAATGTACCATAATAATTATGTATGAATTATATGATGTGCTTCATTTGCAAAATGATAAGTAACAGTATGCTTGTTATGTCTAACTAACAGGACGGAAAGTCTGTGCAAAGTGGACAGTTCTCTCTTAGCGTCCTGCAACGCAGACTGTCAGTGTCCCGAAACAAACTGGGACCCCGTATGCGGTGAGAACGGCCTCACCTACTTCTCCCCCTGCCTGGCTGGATGCCGGACGTCCCACGGCTCTGGAATGAACACGGTAAGCGCGGCCTCTGAACCGAGAGTGTGATTCTGGAACAATGGCGTGTGTTTGTTGTCCTGTTCCCTTCAAAGAATGCGAGCGACATTGTGTTGTTTCATATGCCTTGAACTCGGCTTTTCCCAGCACTCTCTGAAGGGTGTGCACAACCTGTTTGTCTTCAGCTCAAAGGCTTCTCTGAAACTTCCTGAGACGGTTCCTGAGACAAGCATCGCGTTTCATTCCATCTAAACGGCTGCGATACAGTCTGCAGATTAAAGTCAGAGAGTGTTTTCTCCCTCCCATCCTGTGTGTCCATTTCATTTCTCAAGCATCTGTTATACGCACTGTCTTTTGTGCCGTCCTTTCAGACTGTTGCTAAACAAAGAATTAATGTAATTTCAGACTTTAGATGAGTGAGATCAACCAAAGAACACATTGTGACTGTGCATTTGTTCAGCATGTGGAAAGTGTATATTTTTAGATGCTGTTAAGATTTTTTTGTCACCTTTTTATGACAAATTTTATATATATATATATTTTTTTAAGTATAAATAGAACATCTATAATATAAACATCATTTATTTTCTCTCTCTCTCTCATATATACATACATAGACCTACCTTTGATTTTACAACTACAATGTATTTTAAAATAACACTTCTGTGCATTTTACATTTACAACAGTTTTACATTTTTACGTTACATTTGCCTGTAAAATTCAGAGTCAAATGTATTAAGGCTGGACAAAATAATCCATTAATATTCATATGCCACATTAAAAATAGTCAATGCAGTGCACTCTACAATAGAAAAAGTAAAAAATATAAATATATTACAATATAATTGGTAAACAAATAACTTGAGCAATACACTTCATCTAAATTGATTTCATAAGATTTTTTTTTTGTTTATAAACAACTCCAATAACTTTTAAATTACCTTTTCATTGCGTTTCACATGTAGAACAATTGTACATTTGACAATTGTACATCTTTACATTTGGTTTGCCTGTGAAGTTCATCAATGCAGTGCATTCCACAATAGAAAAAGGAGAAAATAATCAATATAATTATAATAAATATTATTGGTAAATGGATAACTTGAACAGTACACTTCATCAAAATTTATTTTATTTCATTAGATTTTTTTTTTTTAAATGTATGAATATAACCACAATCCAAGAGAGAATCATCAATCATAAGATTTGTGCATCATGTTGTCATTTCTAATTAATCATGGGATGGGTAGCTAATTTCCTCTTAAATAATTTAAAAATTTGAATTTGTTTGCTTTTCATATACATATATATAGAGAGAGAGATTTTTTTTTGCTTAAAGATAGCAAGGAATAATCTGCATGAATAAAAAATTTGACATTTTTTGATTAAAGGCCCAATTACCCATACTTCATCAGACAGTTAATGCAATTGTAGATCTAGAAAAGTCCTTGTTAGAATTGTGGTTTGCACATCACTGCACTTGGTAAGTTGCAGCAATGTTGTAACTGCCAAAAAATAGCTGCACAAAGTTGTTTTAAAAGTTGTTTTGCTGCATGAGGTGTGCTTTAAGTAGCATCTGATCTGCTGTGTTTGTGTGTTTCAGGTGTTTGAGCAGTGCAGTTGTGTAGCAGTCGGGAATCATACGGCCAGTGCGGGCCAATGCAACAACAGAGACAGCTGCCATCGAGTCTTCCCCTACTTCCTGGCTCTGTCTGTCATCACTTCCTTTATCATCTCGCTGGGCGGAACACCAGGATACATGCTGCTCATCAGGTGAATATCTGACCTTGATTTATTGATCAGGAACTGCTGATGGTCCAGAGAGTTACAGCTCACTTTACCCTCAGGCCTTCCAAGATGTAGATGAGATTGTTTCTTCATCAGATTTGGATTAATGTAGCATTCCAACACTTGCTTACCAATGGATGCTCTGCAGTGAATGGGAGCAAGTGATGGAATGCTTCTTATATTATAATATATAAATATATAATATAATAATATTATAATATATAAATATATAATAATATATACATATATGAAGTCTTGGTAAAGTGAATGTTTTGTTTACGTGCTGAATTATCATTTCATAGAAAACAGCACAGAAAGCACAGAAAGGTCATCCAGTCATGTGTTTGGGTTTTTTTCTCAGTTCAAGCAGATAACAGATGAAAACTGACAGCATGTGTCGACGGCACTAATGTGATTTTCCCCTCATTATTCCATGTCTTAGTGGAGGGCTGTAGGTCAGTCAAAGCTGTCGCTCGATTTGAATCCAAAATCAGTCGAGACAAGTTTATGGTCAGTTGTGAAGTTCAGTAATCAGACTTGTGTCTTGAAAGGAAAAGCTTTAGCACCAGGGACTGTCAGCTTTCTCCCAAAGCTCAGTCAGCTGACGCTGCTGGAATGCTCAGCCTCCCTCGGGCTAAATTAGGTTAGCAGCAGCAGCAGCGCTGGCCCGGCTTTGTTGTGAAATAAAAATTCCTGCATGTCTGTAGCTTTTGAGAGAAGACGTGATTAGTTTGGATGAAGTAATCTGCATATTGCTGTTGTGAAATTGTCTAGTGGCTTGATTTGATAGAATTCGTTCTGTCAGTACCAATAAAATTATGTCAGCAATTAATTTTCATAATAAATGTTTCTGGTCTCATGCACAATTCATCAATGCATGTTAAAGATTTTATTTTAACAAACTATAATCATTTTTGCTACTTTTTTCTTATTTAAAAATACAAATAATCAATAGTATCATAGTCTAACTTTTTGCAATATTCTATGCATTCAGAACAATTTCATGTTATTTTTTTACATTTTTTTTTTTTTTCAAATACAGTGGATAAAGTAATCCACATATTGCTGATGTGAGGTTGTCTCGTGTTAGTGTTAGCAATTCATGGTACTATCATAAAAGAGGTTAGGTTCATATAAAAAAAAAATTACCTATTCATTTTCATAATAAATGTTTCTGGTCTTGTGTACACATTCATCAATGCATATTACTTCAAAGAAAAAGAAAAAAAGTTTTTCCAACAATATAATATCTGCTACTTTTTTTGCTGGCATGTAAACATACAAACTAACATAGTATCAGTCTAACTTTTTGCAATATTTTATGAATGATTTGCAAATGCCTTCATATGAAATCAAAATCAGCCCTATTTTTCTGTTTATTTTCATAAATTGGATAATCATTGCACGTTATTCAATGCATAAAAATTATATATATATATTTCTGCCACTTTTGTGCAGGCATATAAAAATGTAAATAACCATAGTATCATTGCCTAATTTTTCACAATACATCACTTTATGTAATTATTCAATATGCAACTTATGTAATTATTTAATCTATTATCATCATTAATTATAATAACAAAAACATTCTAAATTATTATATTATAGATAATTTGTTTCTATTGTTTTTTGTTGTTGTTTATATATATTACTTTATTTTTGTTACATGGATTCTTAAACTACCGGTATGTCCTATTTCTTGTAAGCAGTACATCTGTCAAACGTATTTTCATTTTATTTCTTAAAGGAAGTAATCTAGCCGCTCTTTCTCTGGTTTCATCCACAGATGCATCAGACCTCAGCTGAAGTCTTTAGCTTTGGGTTTTCACACATTGACGACACGCACTCTAGGTGAGAGACGCTTTGGTGTTTGGTGCTGTTGATGTCTCTGCTGAATCATTTTGTAGTCACAGTGGTAATGATGATTTGTTTTGAAGCAGTAGTGGATGGTGTGGTGTTTTTTTTTGCCTTCCACAGCTGGAATTCCAGCTCCTATATACTTCGGAGCCATCATAGACACCACCTGTCTGAAATGGGGTCAGAAGAAATGTGGTGGGAGAGGAGCCTGTCGAATCTACAACACCACTGCCTACAGGTATTTGGCTCATCACCACACTTGACTTGCATATTTGCAGTGTAGGGTTGGAATAAGTGAAAGTAGCAACACAACTAACTTATAGTTTTGCTTATTCAAAAACACTTATTTAGCAGCAGCTACATCTATATCTGTTAGTAATCGGATTGATGGCTCAATCAGACTGATAAGCCTTCATGTAATCGCCTCAATCGATCCAAATGAGCTCGATTTGAATTAAATCTCAGGTGTAGACCTGAAATAATCTGTTCAGTGGAAAAATGAAGCATGTAAACACCTGAATCCAATGATTTTCACAATTGGATTCAGAAATACTTTGCACGTGATGTGTATGTTTACATGCATTTTAGGTCTTACAAATGTGCGTTTATTTGCGCCTCACGTCTTAGAAATATTGGTGAATATTGGACTGAATGTTTACTAAATATTTGCTAAAAACACTCTTGGCATATGTCAGCTTTATTTGTGCACAATACATGTAATGCATGTGTAAATTAATATGCAAAATGGATTGCAACATTTAGGGTTCATCGGATCGGATTCATTCAGAAAGATTTTTGCATGTAAACATCTTGTATAGTGTGATGCTGTAATATGAAATTCAGTTACACTTTATTTTACAATGTCCTTTTTAAAGTGTATTTGTACATTTAAGTACAGAGTAAAAATGTATTTACAACGTACTTGCTGTAGGGTTAGCATTATGGTTTGGTTTAGGGTTATTGCATGGAGCTATGCATAATTTACAGTTATTACTATAGTAACTTGTAACAAGGACAATGTAACAAACTGAAATTCTTGTGTACGTTAGATCTTGTGTTTATCATGGTTTCCGCAGGTTTGATCAAGGTAAAAATAACTCCCTTTTAAGAATAAGTAAAGAAAATGGAAGGAATAAATGGAAGGGAACACAATATGTCAATATGTTCTCTAAATGTAAATGTCTAGGGAGCACAAAATACAACTTCCAACAGATCTCCATTCCTTTTAATTCACTTTAAGGAAAAAGAAATGGCTTGAAGCTTGAATAGCTGTGCTCCAAATCACTAGAATATGGAAATAAATTTTACTGTACCTTCTGATCACATTGCAAAAAAGTGATGTTTTTTTCCTCAGTATGTGTGTCGGTTTTCATGGCAAATGTCTAATGATTCTTCAATCAAGATTACTTGAGAAGCAAAGTGACATCAGATAATAAATCTTCTAAGAAATTAATCAAAATGAAGTAGCTTTATGATTAAAACAAGAACTGCAAAAAAAATGCAAAACTGGACATGGAAAAATCTACTTAATTCAAAGGGACGTTTTCATATCCCACTGACAGATATTTGTTCTTGTATTAAGCATAAAATCACTTAATTGTGTACAATTTATGAAGACATTTTACATTTGCAACTCAAGTAAACATCTTGATTTAAGCATGTTTAAGTATTTGTATTGGAACGCAAAAATACAAAGATTTCATTTTGTGAAATGCATGCAACGTCATGCCACGAGTTTATGAATTAAAGACATTCTGCTCCAATTTAAGACTTCTTAAGACCCCCAGAAACCCTGGTATGTCTAGGCTTGTAATTGTGTTCAGTTGACTATCCTGTACTTTCCTCTCCGTTGCTCAGGATAGCATATCTGGGCCTGACGATGGGCTTGCGGACAGCTTCCTTCTTCCTGTGCATTCTCGGGCTGGTGGTGTTACGACGGCATGTTCGGCGGCAAGAGCGCAACACGCTCGCAAACGGAGGCACGGGGGCCGCAGCCGGCGAACTGCAGGCCCTCAGGAAAGAAGAAAACAACAGCTGTAACTCGGACCAATGGCCGCGGACCACAGATTACGACCCGGAACGGGAGACGCGTTTGTGACTTGCGTACATGCACATGCATGCCTGCGCAGGGAGCAACAGGGCCGTTATGCAGCGTCTGTTTCATACTTTCTATCAGACTCATGTAAATGATGTGAAATAAGTTGTTTTTGATATAGTAGAAGTATTTCTTGAATGTACATGATGTTTTGCAATGATTTTCACAATTGGATTCAGAAATACTTTGCACGTGATGTGTATGTTTACATGCATTTTAGGTCTTACAAATGTGCGTTTATTTGTGCCTCACGTCTTAGAAATATTGGTGAATATTGGACTGAATGTTTACTAAATATTTGCTAAAAACACTCTTGGCATATGTCAGCTTTATTTGTGCACAATACATGTAATGCATGTGTAAATTAATATGCAAAATGGATTGCAACATTTAGGGTTCATCGGATCGGATTCATTCAGAAAGATTTTTGCATGTAAATATCTTGTATAGTGTGATGCTGTAATATGAAATTCAGTTACACTTTATTTTACAATGTCCTTTTTAAAGTGTATTTGTACATTTAAGTACAGAGTAAAAATTTATTTACAACGTACTTGCTGTAGGGTTATCATTATGGTTTGGTTTAGGGTTATTGCATGGAGCTATGCATAATTTACAGTTATTACTATAGTAACTTGTAACAAGGACAATGTAACAAACTGAAATTATTGTGTACGTTAGATCTTGTGTTTATCATGGTTTCCAATTTAAGAAACGCGCGAGGAATGGGCCAGAACTGTGCAAACAGGTGCGTGATGCCGTGGGTATGCAAGTAATCATCTTTATGATCGATGTTGTGCAATGTCACTGTGAGAAATGTTGTGTGAGTGTGTGTGTCGTTACGTGTGAACGGGTGCATTCCCAGTAAAGAAAATGGAAGGAATAAATGGAAGGGAACACAATATGTCAATATGTTCTCTAAATGTAAATGTCTAGGGAGCACAAAATACAACTTCCAACAGATCTCCATTCCTTTTAATTCATTTTAAGAAAAAAGAAATGGCTTGAAGCTTGAATAGCTGTGCTCCAAATCACTAGAATATGGAAATAAATTTTACTGTACCTTCTGATCACATTGCAAAAAAGTGATGTTTTTTCCTCAGTATGTGTGTCGGTTTTCATGGCAAATGTCTAATGATTCTTCAATCAAGATTACTTGAGAAGCAAAGTGACATAAGATAATAAATCTTCTAAGAAATTAATCAAAATGAAGTAGCTTTATGATTAAAACAAGAACTGCAAAAAAAATGCAAAACTGGACATGGAAAAATCAACTTAATTCAAAGGGACGTTTTCATATCCCACTGACAGATATTTGTTCTTGTATTAAGCATAAAATCACTTAATTGTGTACAATTTATGAAGACATTTTACATTTGCAACTCAAGTAAACATCTTGATTTAAGCATGTTTAAATATTTGTATTGGAACGCAAAAATACAAAGATTTCATTTTGTGAAATGCATGCAACGTCATGCCACGAGTTTATGAATGAAAGACATTCTGCTCCAATTTAAGACTTCTTAAGACCCCCAGAAACCCTGGTATGTCTAGGCTTGTAATTGTGTTCAGTTGACTATCCTGTATTTTCCTCTCCGTTGCTCAGGATAGCATATCTGGGCCTGACGATGGGCTTGCGGACAGCTTCCTTCTTCCTGTGCATTCTCGGGCTGGTGGTGTTACGACGGCATGTTCGGCGGCAAGAGCGCAACATGCTCGCAAACGGAGGCACGGGGGCCGCAGCCGGCGAACTGCAGGCCCTCAGGAAAGAAGAAAACAACAGCTGTAACTCGGACCAATGCCCGCGGACCACAGATTACGACCCGGAACGGGAAACGCGTTTGTGACTTGCGTACATGCACACGCATGCCTGCGCAGGGAGCAACAGGGCCGTGATGCAGCGTCTGTTTCATACTTTCTATCAGACTCATGTAAATTATGTGAAATAAGTCGTTTTTGATATAGTAGAAGTATTTCTTGAATGTACATGATGTTTTGGGTAAAAAAAGAATGTCTTACAAACTACCTAACTTGTTTGGATTTAACGTAAAGAGGCTTTTAGAAGCGTCAGATGCCCAAATAGAGCACTGGATTTCCTCTCATTTAAGCCATCGTCGTGCACAGGCCCTATAAGGTTAACATGATTATACCTTGTGGGTACATGATCACGTCTGTTGTATCTCTCTCTTCTGCCATACACACAGATAAGATCCCTGAAACAGTTGACCATGACACTGTGTGCTTAATGTAGGTAGGCCTTGTTAAGCGGGCTATAGGTTGACTAAGTTGTTGGAGATCTCGAATTGCGTCCCATTTGTATTGTCATGCAGGAACGATACGCTCCTTCTATTTAAGAAACGCGCGAGGAATGGGCCAGAACTGTGCAAACAGGTGCGTGATGCCATGGGTATGCAAGTAATCATCTTTATGATCGATGTTGTGCAATGTCACTGTGAGAAATGTTGTGTGAGTGTGTGTGTCGTTACGTGTGAACGGGTGCATTCCTACAGTTCTTTTTCTCGCAATTTGTTTGTTCCTGCCACGAACTAAAATTTTTTTTTTAAAGAATCTCACAATTATAACTCTTTTCTTACAATTGCGAGTTTATATCTAGTAATTCTGACTTTTTTCCTCAGAATTCAGAGTTTATATTTTGCAATTCTGAGAAAAAAGTCACAATTACCTTTATGATTTTTATCCCATGGCAGAAACAAGCTTCCATAATATTGTGCTTAATTGTAATGAAACATTTTTAAATTATAATAAAAATGCAAAACAAGAAATAAATCTTAATACTTAAATTTTCGTTATACAAAATATTATTAGATTTTGGGGTGAAATATGGCCTGGACATGTTTTGTAAGCTTCAACAATGTTAAGCATCAATAGCACAAAACCATCTACCTCAAATGGACTCAAAATTAAGAAATGATCACTTATCTCTACTGGACTGTGAAATCGGTTTAATTTCACATTTCAGCATTTGTTTAACAACTAACAGCATTTGAACTCAGGTGTAATTGGCCTACCTCTCCAGACTCGAGAACACACACACTAACCGCTCGCTAACAGACTGTTCGCTCAGCCCGGAAGTAAATGGTCTCATTGTGATGTTTACTTCTTACCTGTTGTTTATGTGTATACATGTTTTGCTTCTTAATTAAAGTTGATCAAATGACTAACGCAGCCTGTAATGTATGGGATCTTAGATAGGCTTCCATAATGTCGTCTTTGGAAAATATGAATGGAAATATTGCTGTGGAAATATGCTTGAAGTTCTTCAGGAAGTATTACAATCATACTACTATTGACTCGTGTTTGCATGTTTCTGGATGTTGCACGACTAACCTGGTTTGATATGCACTTTTAAACAAAATAAGGGAGAGAATCTAGCAGAGGAGAAGGAAAGCAACACAAGGTATTTCAATGCAACATGCAAACATCAGTCACTATGGCTTTTTGACTAAATAACATACAGTTTCCTGTAATCATCAATGAGTGTTGGGTTTCAGTCGCTCTATTCGCAGACAGCCACATTATGCAGCGATCTCAAAATACAGCACTGTACCAATTCAACATCAAAGCCGGAAAACCGCTACTTCAAATGTGTGGTGAGCAGGAAACCTGACAGGATGTGATGTCATGAACTGACTGTCAAGAACTCGTAACAGTTTGCATGTAATGCCTACAGGTGAGTGTATGTGAGAGGAACCGAGCATGACCGTGATCATCGTGCATTAACGTACAGGTTTCCAATGCATCCACTTGCCTAGTTGTCTTTTTTGTCTCCACTGTCCAGCTGATTCTAAAAAACGAGACAAAACAAGAAAAAAAGATGTTGCTTATCTAAACAACAATTCTGTATTGTTCTTGGTCCTTACTTAATATCTGTAACAAATATCCTCTTTTTAATAATTTTTGTCGGGATGCACAATAATATTAAATGGCATTGATGGTAATTTATTTTATTTACAAACCGTATTTGTCAGTATTTTATGCTAGATTTTATAAATAACTCAATTTTAATTCATCTTTGTACTGTTTATTATTTTATTACAATTATAATATTTTGAGGGTATCATTTGAAGCATGGAAGCTGTTAAACGGTATTTGTTTACAACATGCAAAACAATGTAGATTTAAAATATCTGCCACTACTACTTTTCAATGTTACTTAATTGAGATAATAGTTCATTAGATTTTATTTTTATATTTAAAGTATTTGAACATTTTATTTTGATATTAGCTTATAATATTAGCTATATAACTAGATTTTTTTTAGTTTCAAAGTTTTAGTAATTGTCATTTTTATTTTTTATTTAATTATGTATTTATTTTTAGTAAATGTGTCTAGATTTTAAGTGTTAGTTCTTTTTTTTCTTATTAGTTAATTTTTTTTATAGGAAAGTTATATTTTCCATTTTCATTTTATTTCAAAGTTTTAGTTTTTTTTGGCAAATGTCTATATAGATTTAAGTTTGCTATTTTAGTACTTCAGCTTTATAAGAAAGTTTGTATTTATTATAGGAAAGTTATATTGTCGGTTTTAATTTTTAGTAAATACATGAATGTAGCTTTTGTTTTTAGGTGTTTTTTAGTAATTCAACTTCAAATGAAAGTTTGTTTTTATATTTTATTTCGGTTAATTTTCTTCTCATTTAAATACATTGTACATCTTTTTATGTTTTTCGGTTTTAGTTTTATTCAATGATAACCGCTTCTTTCTAAGCACTTGTGTAATATCATGTGGTTGGTTTGAATTTTCGATGTGTGTGTTACCTGAAGCTCCTGGTGCTCTTGAAGGAGACGGTCGTATTCTTTGGTCAGTCCTTCAGTTTGTTTCTTCATGGCGTCCAAATCGGACTTTGACTTTTTCAGAGCTACAGAAAAACAAACAGCTTTAACTTGTAGAGCTACTCTATTCCAGGTCATTTATTTGATTGTAATTGTGAAGCAGAATGAGCGTGGAGTGTCTGTATGGCCTGTGCTCACCATCGGTGCTGCTCTTCAGCTCCTCCGTCAGTCTCTGCACCTCTTTCTTCAGGAGTTTGTTCTCTTCTGGATCTTGTGTCTTCCCTCCTTCTCCTTTAGCGTCTGTAAGTGCCTGAGGATGACAGTCATTTGTACTTCTATTACTAAATG